TTATATATTCTCTCATATTTTAACTGGATGGCAAATCATTTTCACTTCATGGTTGTATAGTTAACAACCTTGATTCTGGTCTAGCATTAAAACAAGCAGCTATAGGAGGACAAGAAGTCTGGCAGCGATATATGCTTATTAGTTAGCTGTAACATAACCTTCTATGCAAAAAACCAACTGTTTAGTTTCCGGCCTCGAGAGGCTAAAGCAAACTTCCTGTCTGACTGCTGAAGGGGTTAAAGTCTTGCTAAACATGAAGCTACAAATGTGACTTTTTAAAAAAAAAGTTTTTATTTTAGTTATTTAATTATTTATTTTGTTGTTTATGATATTTGTATACGTGCAGAACTGTGTGAACTTTGGTTTTATGTTCAAGTGCTTTATAATAAAGGTATGGTGTGGTACAGATTCCGAGTTAGAGCCTGAATAGTGTAATGATCTAATTGAATCTAATTCACATTAATTCTAACTATAAAACTCTATACTATTTACTGTTACTACCTGCAGCGCCTTGTCAAGAAGGTCCAGGACTCTGTTTTGGAGAAGTGGGTCAACGATCCCCACCGCATGGACAAGCGGGTTCTGGCCCTGATTCTGCTGGCTCACTCGTCCGATGTTCTTGAGAATGCCTTTGCCCCGCTCCAAGACGAACAGTACGACCTCGCCATGAAGAGGGTTCACACTCTGCTAGAGCTGGAGCCCGAGAAAGAGAGCGCTAAGCCCAATGTCAATGAACTAATGTGGGCCGTGGTGGCCGCCTTTACTAAATGAAAGCACCTGATTGGTTGGACTGAAAGGTGGTCTGTATTATTTAATTGGCTGAAGGACTTAATGAGACAGACTTCACTCTAATGAGACAATCTGTTTTGGTTGGGGAGCTTGTTTAGACATCTCTTCTGGATGATATTTTGGTGGTAGTCCATATTAACACAGTCTTGATCGGTGGTGGGCTTCACCAAGCTAACAGTGGGACGGGCTAGATGACTCTCTAAAATGGAAACGACTGGCTGCTTTCACACAAGTGAGGTACATCATCTGCCACTGCAAAGGATATACTTATACAAACATCAACACTACATACAGGTGGGTTTCTATTCGTTAGATGACATCGGAGAGCACAGTAGCTGGCAACAGTAGTCATGGTGAATATGAAGATATTGACTGGGGCCGAGTTTCCCTTCAGCGCAGAGGAAACGTCATCTCTTCATCACTTCAAGATCTCCATACCCTGCCACATGCTAACGCGAGGACAAAGGATGAGCAACGCTCTTTCTGCTCTCGCAGGTCTCCCGCTTCCACCTGTTCGTTTCCACTTGAGTTAAGAACGCATCTCTGGGTTCCCATTATTACAGACTACCTGACTGTGTCAGATTCATTTTGTCCTTGCTTTAATTTTTCTTTCCTCCTTTCCCCTCAATGCCTCTTGAGGGGGAAAGAGGGGCTAAACACAAGTTCAGTTCCTTCACCAGTAAGTGTGAGATCATTCGGCCCTTATAGAGATTTAACATGTGCAATCTAACAAAGCTCTCATTAGTTTGCTGGTTTTTCAAGGGTCCATTCTGTGTGTAGAGAGCGCAGCTAGTCTTCCGTTTCTGTTTATGTTGCTGATCGATGCTTGGAGTAGCCTGCCATTAATTAACTTTTTGCACAGCTGCTAGCCCTGCAGGTAGGTTAGTATTTATAGGTGTCTTCTCGGGTTGTGTAACCCACTTGTGACAAAGGGATTTGATGATTATAAACTTTAGAAACTATGGTAAAGGAGAAAAAAACGACAACAAAAAATCTCAATCCAGCTCTATAAATATAAAAAATTAAAAAAACAAAAAAATAAATAATTCCCTTGGTGATTAAAAAAAATGCTCCTGCTACTTATATTTCTAAATGTGAATCGAGATGTAAAGACGCAGGGGGGAAAAGAGTAGTGGTCGAATTTGGATATTTAAAAAAACCCTCTGTGACACTTACTGTGATCATTAGTGTTTACTTATACATATTAAGGAATTGTTAGCCAAGCAGGTTAGCTATTTTAGTTACTACAAAAACATATTTTCTCACTTAAAACTAGTGGTATGTAGACATAGAAGTGTTATTTAGGTTTAACAATATTTTCATTTCCCTGAAAATTGACAAAAATATTAGTTGAATTTCCTTTTGTCATCGTAGTTAGTATAAAAAAAACGACCCAAAAACAAAACAGAAAGTCAGAGGCAAGTCTTGTGTAGGAGTTTCCACACATGACTAATCGACAAGCATAACCTGTTTGCATTTCCTCTGAAGAAATCGTCCTGACATGATCATGTGATTTATTCCAGTTGTTACTTTTAGAGGTAAGTGAGAAAATGTGTTGTGTAGTTATGGAAAGTCAAGACTTTCCATGTATCTCAGCTTAATTGTCATTTCATGATTACATGCTCTTTTTGTTCTGTTTAATCGGCCCCTGTGGGCATGTTGTATGGTTTGATACATGGAAATGATGGCGGAGGTTACATGGGGTCTTTGGTAAATCCCTGTTTATGACTGAAACATCTTAACGTCTAATGGAGAGGAAATGAACTCCAAACACGCTTTGGTCTGGGAAAAACTTGTTTCATTGTAAAATTATGATTATAAAAACACCGTCTGATCAATGTGGTCTGTGTATGAAGTTACATCGCCTGTTTTATTTTTGCCTTTTTTCTACCTGCACAGTACCAGTGGGTATGAAGAACTGTTGAGACACGTTTACAGCAACAAGACCATGCTTGTTCTCGGTGGAGGGCTGGGATGTTTGTGGATGTAGCTACAGAGAAAACGGCTTGTATGTAATTATTAATCATTTTATGTGTACGGTCTAATTGAATTCAGTGAAAGGGATCTCTCCTATCCTCTATAATTCTGTATGCTTTTTGTATTACCACAAAAAAATAAACTAAGGATCCTTTAAGTGCCTGAATTTATAATGTTTTGCTGCGGTTTTTCTTTCAGAATTTATGGTTAAAAACGGGCTTGCTCTTATCAAGATTTTGATCCCTTAGGTAGATCATCTGATTCACATTCTTCTAGCACTAGTTGGTAGATGAATCTCTTCAGTGAATATAAACCTTTGCAAGATTTGTTCAGTGATCAAAGGGGAAAAAAATGTTGGTACTTGTTTTCAGTGGTAGAAGTGTGCTTCTAATAATCAGTAGGTAACAAATAATTGATAATAGGTTGTAGAAATTATATTTATGGCAGAAAGTTGATCAGTTTCTTTCTTTAACTTAAAAGCCTACACATCAGTCTCTGAAATTCATTAACTAACATGAGCCAATTTGTTACCTTTGTGGAACAGTTTGGGTTTTTTTAGTGATCTCAACCAAGAAATGGTATGCGACAGCATTTCCCATCAGACTAAACTTCTTTTGCAACTTCCAGTTGCAATGATTACAGGGATCTCATGTTACCTTATCATTCTTTGTGAACTCTTCGCTTCAGCTACACAGTTTCCATTACAAACATGGGAGTGGCTTCTTGCCTAACTCTTATCAGGAAGCAAATTATTTCTGGGATGTGCAGGTGAAAACATGAAATGAAACTAAGGTGAATCGTTTTATTGGGGGGAAAGTAACACACACACAAAGGGTTCCCTGAAGCTATTTAACCTTTAAATACAATGAAACTTGGATGCATTTTATATTTGTATTTTTAACAATAAATATAATTTTTTAATAAGTGGGTAGTCAACTTTCTTTGAGGCCAGAAGAAGTTTGTGAACCACTGCTTTAAACAGAAATTTCACCATTTTGTACCATATTGACAATGTGTATGTGAACTTTGTCAGATCGATGTATTTCACAGCAAACGTATTCTCAAAGTTGGAGAACACCGGCCTTCCTAATAGTGTTACTAGATGCTCAATTATCCAGGTAAGGAAACCCCAAAAAGTTAATTCTCTGCATTCAGGTAGATGTCGCGTTTTCCTCAGTCATCCAGGTGACTTCCTCAGTGTCAGCTGACTGCAGGTTTCCCCAGCCTTACAAACAGCACATTTGCATGATGACCGAAACTATCACCACTAGTCAACAATGACCTGTGAGGTCAGTTTCATGATCGTTACTATGCAAGTTGTCATCACCATTGATCACTGACCATCGATCAATGGCTATGAGTACCATCCACAGAGAGTTGGGGAATGGCAGCGATGTAAGAAGGTGAAAGATGTACGCTTGGTCCACTGGAAACACTACGTCCAGATGAACAGAATCCATTGTTGGTGGGAATTCAGTTTAAAATGAGGTAGCAGCAAAGCAGAGCTGTATAATGTTAAAAATATAAATACAGCTAGTTCTTAGACATGTAAATAAATTGTTATAAGACAGATTTGAAGGCGGAAAGAATGCCAGCAGGATGAATTCTTTAAAAATGTCTGCAGTTAAGTACAGCCAAGATCCATTACTCTTTGACCCAAACCTGGGCTGAAGGACAGCTGCCTGCTGATGTACTCCCAACACCTGTGAAGCCTTATGAGCCACGACTACATGTTTGGAATCCAAAAGATTTTAAACGCCTAATGTTTCCAGATTAGTTAGGTTTGCAGCACTTGGCAAGCAGATAATCAAGTCCAATTTGTTTTGTTTTTTCCCCTAAATCTTAGATCAGAACCAGTTCCCAGAGAGACACATGATTGCTGCCTAACACTGAAATTAGATAGTTGGTGTTACACTCGTTGTTTTCATGCCTGCTACCACAATTCAGAATGTCTGCTGTGGGCACAATAGCTGTGGATGTGGAGTTAGAAACCCTTTTTAATCTAGTCATAAGTTTGCTTGACGTCAGCTGCTCTTACAGAACCTGACACCAGCTGTCTCAAGTAACTAAAAACACAACGCTTATACTATTTAATAACAGACCCACCATCAGTAAGCCTTCTAATTCAGTTTTAACCACTTTCTGATCATAAAAAATGTGCATTGTTTGTATTCTTAACTACATTCACAAACAGCTTTCTGTCATAGCCACCATACAAACAGATACTACACATGACCAAGTAATACATTTACTGAATGTATATCTTTTAATGAACTATTTATGACACACTTCCACTTATGCTGACATTTTTTAAATGCATTTTAAGTAGATTCACAGAATTTATAGATTCACAAGTGTCATTTCCTTTAGGTCCAAGTCAGTTAGTCTAAATGTTACACCTTAACCTATAACAGAGCCAACATGCATGAATGTCCACAGATAGTATACGGTGTATATACATGTGACAATCATCATCTTTAGCAGATATCATCCATTCTGAAGCTCCTGTTCGATCCAGTTCGTCACCGATCTGTATCAGCGGATCAACAGCATCCCACAAGTTTTCCTCTGGAGAGCTCCTGTCTTCCTTTTTGAGTCCACTGCCAGTCCAAATCCAGCGACTCCAGCAAGATGTGTCCACAAACATATGTACATCCCACTTACGGCTACCATATTGCCACCAGTTATGAGTCTATATATGAGACCCGTCTTTAATGTTAGGCTCACGGCCAGTCAGATTTACAGTACACGCTTCCTCTTGATGAGCTCTCACATCATGTCTCACTTGACATTAGCGACAGTCTTGTAGTGCTTGATAAGTATTTCCAGCAGTTTGTATTTCCAGTAGAGTTCATCGCCGGCTTTACGAAGCTCGCGTGCGCAGAGTTCAACAGCGGCAGCAGCTCCTGAGGGTCTGTCTGAGGGAAGAAGACATCGGTTAGATCATATCAGTCGATTGCTCGCAATCTGTTAGTAAACTATCGGGCTTAACTAAAACTTCCTCAATCAGATCGGTTTATATATTCACCTTTGCTGGCCATTTTCTCAACGATAATAGTCCGAAAACGAGAAGCGCTTCACGGGATCGTTTTGCTTCTTCAGTGTTGAGACTTGATGTTCAGGAACAGGTTTGACCTATTGATAGCCCAGACCGCCTTTTAAGCATGCTATACGTCACACACATGCTCAGAAAGAAATCCCCCGTTGGTCACGAGTCAACTTCTTCCTCCTCCTACTTTGTTTACGAGCGTCTACAATCAGTAGTGTTAAAGGTTAAAATGGTTAAAACTTAGTATGTTTGCACTTTGCTAAAGATATATACCCTGCCCTATTTTTTTCCCCCGATAGTCACATTTAAGAATAACACGGAGAATAGAAATGGACACGTACATATATTTTTTAAAAAGTTAGAAGTCTCAGAATGAGCTCATAGCCAAATGAAATAGAAAGCAAAACAACATCTGAACCAGTTCCACCGTGTCACACGAAGCAACATTTCATCAGACCAGTTTGTTAACTGCAAAAAGCTCACAAACCAACCATAAAGAAAACAGTACAGACTGTACGACAACAGTTCACAGCCACACTTTATGTCCTACCTCGCCGATAAGATTATATATTTAGAAACAGTATTCTTTTCACCATGTACAGGACAGATATCATTGGACGTATTATATAAACACAAACACAGAATATTTAAAATAACCAGCTGCAGAAAATGTTTCTTTTACATCAAAACCTTGCATTAACCGGTGTCACGCAAGTTTCCGTGACTGAATTAATGCAAAAACAAACAAGGCCAACACCACTAATCACGTTACACACACCAGGCACGTGACCTGTTTACACTAGACGGTGATGAAAAACTTGGTGACGTGGAAGATATGTGCATTGCGCTTCTTCCTTAAAAGTGCACTATTTGCATTTGTGCTTAGTAAAAGCACCGTGAACTTGTTTGGGCATACCTTCTCCTTTCGTACGAAATGGGAAGTACGATAGTCGTATCACCTGACCACCGACGCTTAGAGAGTTGCAGTATTATTTCTTTATTTAAGGAAAAAGTATTTACTTTTGAGAACTGAGTCTAAACTTTAAGATTAAGAAATTTAGATTATTGAAAGTGCCACAATATAAATGTTTAATGTATGTGGCATCTTGGGTCTGTTAATACCATGCATTTACGCATGCAGACAAGGTCAAGACTGCCTGTGAAAGGTCAAAGCGAGTATCAGAGTAAGGAAGAAAGTTAAAGTGACTTTAAACGTGACGTGGTTGTTGGTGTCTGACGGGCTGGCCAAGAAATTTCAGACACTGTTGATCTACTTGGATTTCCCCACACGCCACCATCTCTGGAGTTTTAGTAAGAAAAACAGAAAATATCCACTCAGCTTAAAGCAAAAGAGGAAATTTCGGCCTCAACTCCCAGTGGCTTGCCATGATTAGACAGCAGAATATTCGAAAACTGTTGCCTGGCCTGAGTCTCGATGACCACAGTGTACCAATCTTCTAAACCTGCTTCCAGCCTCTATGCCACAAATAATCAATAAAGCCACACTGAAGGCAACTAATGAAGTTTCAGCTAAGTAAAAGTCAGCAGTTTAGCCAAGTGGCTGCCAAACACATGGTGGCCCTCCCTTTAAATGGTCATGTAATTAAGAGCAAACTTAGATTAAGAGCAAATTTTAAATTACATTTCTGCATTTAAAAAAAAACATATAGAGAGTGAAAAATTATGTACGATATATTTATGGTGAATTAAAAGCTGAATTATACATGGTATATTAAAATGTCCTCATGCTACCTAAAAACAGGCTAAAATCACCTAAAAGCATCACATCATTTTAATGTCACTGCTTATAGCAGAAACAGGCATGTATTAGTAAAGTAATATAGTTTGTATACAGTTGTATAATTCTATGTATATTTTTTATGTCTCTATATATAATACTTGTATGGCAATAAAGCAATTTTAAACGTTAGATGGAAAATGTCTTTATATTTTAATTACTGTACCACTACTATTATTGTACTACACTACTATTACTGTAAACGTACTTAAATGGGGGAACTCTAAGTGGCACCACTGCACATTTCACACATGCTGCTAGTTGTCCACAGAGCTCAGTGGTGACATGGTTACAGCAGGTGTGTCACTGCTGCTGATAACAGCATTGTTAAATATACTGGCCTTTTATTGCCGTGTCCTTAAGGTATATGTTTTGAATGTAAATCAACAGGCTTATCGTGGTTTCTCTCTTGTGCAGTCTTGTGACCTTTTGTATGAAATTTTTTGTTGTTGTGCAACATCTCTGAGAGGAAATCACCCCATTAATGTTCCACTTCATGGTTGGGGTGTGTGTGAATGACGTTGCTTTGGTGGAAGTAAATAAATAAATAAATTGGAAAACACATTGGCTTTTTGGGGCTTTCGGTAGGTTTGAAGTCGGTGCTTGTGTTATTTGTGATGGGAGCAGGTAGCTTGTGTGAACAAAAAAAAGAGTTGACAGGCTTTGGCCTTTGTTTGTGTAAATACTGACAAAAGAAGAGTACACAGATGTGACATTAATAGTCAAGCTGTTCTTTAAATAAGCCATTCATGCCATCTGGGTTGAAGTAAATTCAGATCATTTAATGTAAAAATTCTTAGGAAATGTGACTTTACCTAAAGTTATGCATATATGTGATGGGGAAAATCTGAAGTGGCATATTTTAAAATTTATGAGAATAGGACGTCATAGCTTGTTTACTGAGACTCGTGTAAACACTTCAGTAAAGTCTGCATCAGTTACTATCGTCACATATTCTGAGGTATTCAGATAGATAGAGGAGAGGCTCACCCACCTGTTCTGACTTGGTGCAAAGTAAACAGTAACTGCAGCTGTGATACATACAGTGGGGCAAAAAAGTATTTAGTCAGCCACCGATTGTGCAAGTTCCCCCGCCTAAAATGATGACAGAGGTCAGTAATTTGCACCAGAGGTACACTTCAACTGTGAGAGACAGAATGTGAAAAAAAAATCCATGAATCCACATGGTAGGATTTGTAAAGAATTTATTCGTAAATCAGGGTGGAAAATAAGTATTTGGTCAATAACAAAAATACAACTCAATACTTTGTAACATAACCTTTGTTGGCAATAACAGAGGTCAAACGTTTACTATAGGTCTTTACCAGGTTTGCACACACAGTAGCTGGTATTTTGGCCCATTCCTCCATGCAGATCTTCTCGAGAGCAGTGATGTTTTGGGGCTGTCGCCGAGCAACACGGACTTTCAACTCCCGCCACAGATTTTCTATGGGGTTGAGGTCTGGAGACTGGCTAGGCCACTCCAGGACTTTCAAATGCTTCTTACGGAGCCACTCCTTTGTTGCCCGGGCGGTGTGTTTTGGATCATTGTCATGTTGGAAGACCCAGCCTCGTTTCATCTTCAAAGTTCTCACTGATGGAAGGAGGTTTTGGCTCAAAATCTCACGATACATGGCCCCATTCATTCTGTCCTTAACACGGATCAGTCGTCCTGTCCCCTTGGCAGAAAAACAGCCCCATAGCATGATGTTTCCACCCCCATGCTTCACAGTAGGTATGGTGTTCTTGGGATGCAACTCAGTATTCTTCTTCCTCCAAACACGACGAGTTGAGTTTATACCAAAAAGTTCTACTTTGGTTTCATCTGACCACATGACATTCTCCCAATCCTCTGCTGTATCATCCATGTGCTCTCTGGCAAACTTCAGACGGGCCTGGACATGCACTGGCTTCAGCAGCGGAACACGTCTGGCACTGCGGGATTTGATTCCCTGCCGTTGTAGTGTGTTACTGATGGTGACCTTTGTTACTTTGGTCCCAGCTCTCTGCAGGTCATTCACCAGGTCCCCCCGTGTGGTTCTGGGATCTTTGCTCACCGTTCTCATGATCATTTTGACCCCACGGGATGAGATCTTGCGTGGAGCCCCAGATCGAGGGAGATTATCAGTGGTCTTGTATGTCTTCCATTTTCTGATGATTGCTCCCACAGTTGATTTTTTCACACCAAGCTGCTTGCCTATTGTAGATTCACTCTTCCCAGTCTGGTGCAGGTCTACAATACTTTTCCTGGTGTCCTTCGAAAGCTCTTTGGTCTTGGCCATGGCGGAGTTTGGAGTCTGACTGTTTGAGGCTGTGGACAGGTGTCTTTTATACAGATGATGAGTTCAAACAGGTGCCATTCATACAGGTAACGAGTGGGGGACAGAAAAGCTTCTTACAGAAGACGTTACAGGTCTGTGAGAGCCAGAGATTTTCCTTGTTTGAGGTGACCAAATACTTATTTTCCACCCTGATTTACGAATAAATTCTTTACAAATCCTACCATGTGGATTCATGGATTTTTTTCACATTCTGTCTCTCACAGTTGAAGTGTACCTCTGGTGCAAATTACTGACCTCTGTCATCATTTTAAGTGGGGGAACTTGCACAATCGGTGGCTGACTAAATACTTTTTTGCCCCACTGTATATCCTGTACATAGCTTGTACTCACTACAGCCTGTACATACTTATACTTATAGAATATTCACAACATACTTCATACCGTGTACACTTTCTGTTCTTTTGTATAATTAATCTATTTGTATGTTGTATATTCATTGTTTGTTCAGTAAAGTTCATTTATTTAAAAAAAAAAAAAAGTAACTGCATCTGCGTAAAAGTGAAATGTTGCCCTCTGCTGTCCGTGACCTGAAGTACAACGTAGTTTAAAAAGAAAATGATAAACGAGAGTTGTGTGTCGCTACAGTTAATATAATTACGTATGATCAGTGCACCCTTACAACCTTTGAAAAGTAAAACTAAAGCCAACTCAGCTAACTGATTAACTTATTAAATGAAATTAATTAATAACTGAAGTTCCTCTGGTTGTTGACTGTTAGTTGTACGAAACAAAGTGAATACGCCACCTTGTGATGGGCAGATAATAATGATAAATAATTAGTTCTTTTTTTCCTTTCTTTTTAAACGGTGAGGATATTTGTCCTTTTTGCCTGATGGCCCGTCCTATACTCCACATGCACATGTAGAATGATAAGAACTCTTGTGCCTTTAATGTGCACAAGACACAAGAACAGAATAAAGCCCAGCTACAAAAACCACGACACAGATAAAACCAATGAAATAAAATAAAATCATAAATATGAATCCTATCTGGTTTCTGGTTATTTAGGAGTTACACAGTGTAATAGCCACCGAGAGAAAGGATCTAAAGGGATGGTTCAGTCCTGCACCTTGGGACAATGATGAATTGTCCATGAAGCTGAAGAGGTTGTTCATTAACATGGGCTATTTTTGATCTTTAGCAGCGACAGCTTCATGGACAGTTAATCCATTACTGTGCTACTGCTGGTATTACAGTACTGCAAGGTTTTCCTGTTTGTCTACATTGTGTTTATTTAACAGCTCTATTTACCGATTACGTTACAAATTAGGATTTCATGTTGTCTTACAGTGTACTACTTTTGTTTTATTTGTTGTTAGGGATAAACCCCCTCAAATCAACTACTTAAATCATGTTGTATTTTCTTGTTGTTCTTCTTCTTCTCATTATTATTATTATTATTATTATTATTATTATTATTATTATTATTATTATTATTATTATTATTCTCTATCATCGGACCAGTGTATACCATATGCAAACACTGTAAGTACGCCCATCAGCCATCAGGTGGCGGCAAAACCAAGCTCAGCGCAAGAGGTTTTTGGCGCTCCAGTTGTCACGTGAGTGCGCGT